ACCACAATTTAAGGAAAATACTAGCTCTTTTTTATGATTATTTATTGTTATTCGACGCTATAAGTTAAAATAATTGAGACTAGTGAACTAATAATGACTTTTTCGGAAATTTAAGAAACATGATTATTACCACAATTTAAGGAAAATACTAGCTCTTTTTTATGATTATTTATTGTTATTCGACGCTATAAGTTAAAATAATTGAGACTAGTGAACTAATAATGACTTTTTCGGAAATTTAAGAAACATGATTATTACCACAATTTAAGGAAAATACTAGCTCTTTTTTATGATTATTTATTGTTATTCGACGCTATAAGTTAAAATAATTGAGACTAGTGAACTAATAATGACTTTTTCGGAAATTTAAGAAACATGATTATTACCACAATTTAAGGAAAATACTAGCTCTTTTTTATGATTATTTATTGTTATTCGACGCTATAAGTTAAAATAATTGAGACTAGTGAACTAATAATGACTTTTTCGGAAATTTAAGAAACATGATTATTACCACAATTTAAGGAAAATACTAGCTCTTTTTTATGATTATTTATTGTTATTCGACGCTATAAGTTAAAATAATTGAGACTAGTGAACTAATAATGACTTTTTCGGAAATTTAAGAAACATGATTATTACCACAATTTAAGGAAAATACTAGCTCTTTTTTATGATTATTTATTGTTATTCGACGCTATAAGTTAAAATAATTGAGACTAGTGAACTAATAATGACTTTTTCGGAAATTTAAGAAACATGATTATTACCACAATTTAAGGAAAATACTAGCTCTTTTTTATGATTATTTATTGTTATTCGACGCTATAAGTTAAAATAATTGAGACTAGTGAACTAATAATGACTTTTTCGGAAATTTAAGAAACATGATTATTACCACAATTTAAGGAAAATACTAGCTCTTTTTTATGATTATTTATTGTTATTCGACGCTATAAGTTAAAATAATTGAGACTAGTGAACTAATAATGACTTTTTCGGAAATTTAAGAAACATGATTATTACCACAATTTAAGGAAAATACTAGCTCTTTTTTATGATTATTTATTGTTATTCGACGCTATAAGTTAAAATAATTGAGACTAGTGAACTAATAATGACTTTTTCGGAAATTTAAGAAACATGATTATTACCACAATTTAAGGAAAATACTAGCTCTTTTTTATGATTATTTATTGTTATTCGACGCTATAAGTTAAAATAATTGAGACTAGTGAACTAATAATGACTTTTTCGGAAATTTAAGAAACATGATTATTACCACAATTTAAGGAAAATACTAGCTCTTTTTTATGATTATTTATTGTTATTCGACGCTATAAGTTAAAATAATTGAGACTAGTGAACTAATAATGACTTTTTCGGAAATTTAAGAAACATGATTATTACCACAATTTAAGGAAAATACTAGCTCTTTTTTATGATTATTTATTGTTATTCGACGCTATAAGTTAAAATAATTGAGACTAGTGAACTAATAATGACTTTTTCGGAAATTTAAGAAACATGATTATTACCACAATTTAAGGAAAATACTAGCTCTTTTTTATGATTATTTATTGTTATTCGACGCTATAAGTTAAAATAATTGAGACTAGTGAACTAATAATGACTTTTTCGGAAATTTAAGAAACATGATTATTACCACAATTTAAGGAAAATACTAGCTCTTTTTTATGATTATTTATTGTTATTCGACGCTATAAGTTAAAATAATTGAGACTAGTGAACTAATAATGACTTTTTCGGAAATTTAAGAAACATGATTATTACCACAATTTAAGGAAAATACTAGCTCTTTTTTATGATTATTTATTGTTATTCGACGCTATAAGTTAAAATAATTGAGACTAGTGAACTAATAATGACTTTTTCGGAAATTTAAGAAACATGATTATTACCACAATTTAAGGAAAATACTAGCTCTTTTTTATGATTATTTATTGTTATTCGACGCTATAAGTTAAAATAATTGAGACTAGTGAACTAATAATGACTTTTTCGGAAATTTAAGAAACATGATTATTACCACAATTTAAGGAAAATACTAGCTCTTTTTTATGATTATTTATTGTTATTCGACGCTATAAGTTAAAATAATTGAGACTAGTGAACTAATAATGACTTTTTCGGAAATTTAAGAAACATGATTATTACCACAATTTAAGGAAAATACTAGCTCTTTTTTATGATTATTTATTGTTATTCGACGCTATAAGTTAAAATAATTGAGACTAGTGAACTAATAATGACTTTTTCGGAAATTTAAGAAACATGATTATTACCACAATTTAAGGAAAATACTAGCTCTTTTTTATGATTATTTATTGTTATTCGACGCTAGATAAAAAAAACAATTTTAATTTCTGGTAATTTGTTAGTAAAAAGTCATATTCTTTAAATTTATAAATTTTTAATTTAAAGATAAGACTAAAATTTATATTGCTTCATATTTAATTTATTCCTAAATTTATTAATAAATATGCTAATACATTGGCAAAATATATTTTTCTTTTGTTCCATTTGGATTATTTTTGTATGTTAAAGCTTACTTTAACAGAAAATTAATATAAAGAACTGTGCCAAACTCTATTCAGAACACGAAGGGTGTTGTAGTGTAGTGGCTAGTATTTAAACCTTATTAAAATACTATAAAAGCCTCACACAATTATCAGTTAATTGTCTCCTAATTGTTACCCCAACCTTATGTATTGCTATTTTATTGTTGTGCAAGACATAACAAGGGGTCAGGGAGAAATACAAAAAAAATAAAATCCTAATTAAATTACTTAATCTAAAGCAAAATAAAAATTTTTTCGATAATTTATTAAATTGAAAATTTTTATCAAAAATAAAGTTAAATTATTTTAATTAATTATTCGAAAAGAAAAATACAAAAAAAAAATAATTTTTATTCAGTTGAATGGGTTTAAATAATTTTGAGCAAAAATTTAGACGGAGGGGAATTATTAAAAAATATTTGAAGAATTAGTGTACAAAATTTTAAAGTATTTAATAGATGAAATAAATAAACTAACAGAAATGTGTTTTGGATTGATTCAAAATGAAAAAAATCTTTTTTAAAAAATCTTTTTTAGAAAAAAATCTTTTTTAGCCTCAAGACTAATGAAAACTTCTTGTTCAGAACCAACTTAAATTTAAGGACAGAGCTGGTGGATTATGGGAATTTTTGGATATCCAAAACAGTTATAATTAAAAATTCAGCTCTAAAGAATCGCTTGTTCTCCCAAAGGTTTTTATATTTTATTAGACTGGTCAGTGATGAAAATTTAATTTAAAAATTACGCGCCGTAAATTTAGATAAGGTTTTCAGTGGAGAAATATATTAGAATTATGTGTATAGGAGTTAAATTATATTGAAAATAATAATTGGGACAAATAAAAAAAATTATTTAGAAAAATTATTTAAATCCCAAGTTGGTCCTCCTTCCATTTAAAATAATTTGGTGAATCAATCTGGTCACAATTAATTAGATCTTCAGCCTTTGCTTGATTAAATGCATGTCTGGGTACCTGAAAGAATAAATTAGAAATCGGTCAAACCAAAATTTTAATAAAAAAATTTTTTGAGTTCGGATTTGAAACTTGATTGGTAACGAAAATCATAAATTTGAAATTATTTGATTTATTAATCAAATTCTAAGAATCTAATTTTTTTATTTTTTCAATCACTAGTTGAATAAAAAGAAAACGTCCCAATTAATAAATTTGTCTAATTTAAATATTTAGACATCCAAAAAATTAAATCTATTGAATTTCCACCTAACAATTAACTGTTAATTTATTAAAATAAATTATAAGTAATTAATTGTATTAATTAATAAGTTACAATCAGTGATGGGAAAGTTTCAAAATTTTTCTGGAACCGGTTCCAGTTCTGGAACTGCTTATGGTTCCAAACCGGTTCCAGACCATTACCGGTTCCACGGTTCCAGAAATGGAACTTTCCCTAACTAGTACAATAAAAGCTATTTTTATTATTCAAGATAAAAGTTTTTAATTTAGTTTTTGAAATTTGTTAAATTTAATTTTTTTGGGAAAACTTCTAGACTATTCTAATCATTGAAAAAAAGCCTTCAAAAAACAAATTTACAAACTTTTTTCATAGAATCGCCAGAATCACAAAGTATTCTAGCTAGAGTTGCACGTTTTATTTGTTTTATTTGTTCACTGGAAAGTATGTCTGGGTTCTCGTAGAAAAATCTGTAGAAAAAAAGAATAATTTAAAATTATTTGTGGTTAGATTTAGCGAAATTTTTATATATTAGGGTAAAAGTTTATTTTGAATTCTTGGAAGAAAAGGAGAGAATGTTTGGACGATTTTTAGCTAAATTATAGGAAATTCCCGATTACGGAAATGGCGTATTCCCCTCTTCTAAAAAATTTTTTTTAAGGATTATGCTAGGATTACTTTTACCATTAAAATTCAAAGTTCGCCTAATGTCTGAGATTTATTTTATAATTTAGAAAATCCTTAAAATAGTGTTGGAAATCTTTTGTAGAACTTACCGATCCCCATCTCTTAAAGCCTTGAACTGCTTAGAAACAACACAAGCTAATGTTGGACCTAAAAAAATTTTTTAAAATAAATGTGAAAGTTAGGAAATAATTTTTGAAAATCCCCCTTCTCCTACAGGGTATGATTTTTTAACCATTAGCCAAAATGATAACAAATTATTCGTAACCCATAAAGCTTGGAAGAAAAAAATAATTTTTACAAAAATTTCTTTAACGAAAAATGACATCTGAGATGGAAATTTACCATTAAATAGCTAAAGCGCTGTTTTCTTATACTTTCTTAAAATTTTCTTATAAAAAAGATTTTTGAAAATTTAAATTTCATTTAATTTTTTTCAGATTTTTCATATTAAACATAAAATTCCGATATCCGATCCGAGAAATTGTTAATATGATTTATATAGCGGTCAAGTAGAGGGCGCATAGTGTTTTAGGTTATTTGCGTTAACTTTTGGCTTTGCATTGCATTTTGCCGTGGCCTTCCGAAATTTCAAATCCACGATGTCCGTCTTATCCTCTCCGCATCCCTTTTTATTCGCCTAAAATCATCCGTAATCCCCATTTACCCCGATAACCCTCCAAATCATTGTCCATCAAACCCTTGTATATTTCGACTTCTCCCACCCCTAGCAGACCTCATTTATATTAACTTTTGTAAAAACATTTGAAAATTCTCCCTTAAATTTCAAAAACCCACCGATAAGAGCCCCTTCAATAGGATCCTCTAAAAGAGCACCAACATACATATCAATCAATTCAACTTTTTTATACAAAATTTTCAAGTTTTCCCTCACAATTTCATTACTAATTGTTGTGTTTAAATCAGCAAAGTCTTTGACATGTGGCAAATTACATAAACTACGCCAAGCAATATATCCCGGAATTCCGTGATCTCTCCCTCGTTGAATGTTGATTGAACTGGAAATTGAGGGGGGTTTTTTTAATTTAAATCTTCAGATAAATATTAGCTAAGGTAAAAAAAGCTTAGCTTCCAAAAAATCAAAATAAAAATTAAAACAAACTAAAAAACATTGAAAAAAAGAATGCGCGTTTTTCATTCGAAAATAATTTAAATACTTATATTAATTAAAATTATTATCTTAAAGCTATTTTTATTTTGCCAGCTTGCTAATTTAGCGATAATTTTACAAAATTCACTTAAAAGATTTCTTAAAAAATTTATAGATTGAATACTTTGACCCAATGACATAATAGTTCCCTATAGTCCAAGTCTTTTTACGGCAAATTTTTGGTTAAAATAATATGTAAATCTGTTTAAGTTTTCAGAATTTTATTAATTGAAAGAAATTTTTTATTCCTAATTTTAAAATTACAGTTCACAAAAAACTAAAGCTTTTATAGAACTATTTTTAAATTAACAAAAAAAGTGTTAAATTTCCCAACACAAAAAAAGCGAAGGGATTTTCTTTTAAAATTAAGTCGCCAATGTCACTAACTTCTTAAAATTTCAAATTATTAGATAGCTAAAGCGCTGTTTAGCTTACAAAAATAAAAAGAACGATGTGGAAAAAATTAATATGGCAAGATTAAGATAGGCAATATGTATAAAAATTATTTTTAGATTTCTCATATTAAGCTCAAAATATGAGAAATCTAATTGGAATTACTATTGTGTCTTTATATCAAAAAGTTTAAAAATATTTGTCGAAAATAGACGAGAAAACCCAGGACCGAAAAGTCCTCACTTTATGTGTTTACTTTAATTTTAACTTTTACCCCAAATCAGAATTTCCAAAAATCTTTTCAGTTACAGAAACAGTCAGTCTTTGTGGCAGTCTTGCAGGTAATGACATTAAACCTAAAAATATTTTTTTTTGAACATTATTTTCGAAATAAAATTTTTTCAGTAAAAATTACCTCTTACTAAAGGATCTATTCCATTATTTCTAAAAATAAAAAAAATTCTCTCGAAAAAATTTTTTGCCTTACAAAATATGGACAGATTTAAACATTCCTTCATTGAATGGTATTCCACCCAAAAATAACAAAAATTTATTAAAAATATTTTTTTAAATTTTTTATACCAATTTGTGCAAATTCTTGATTAAAAAAAGGATAAAATTCCTGAAAAAATAAAAATTTTCAAATAAAAAAGCAAAGCACTTGAATCATTCCATGACCAAACCGAAATGCGCAACTTGTAAATTCATTCTAAAAATTTAAAAAAAATATAATAAAGGATTTGGAGGTAAGGTAGTTTCGAAACTCTCTCTCTTCTTTTCCTCTTATCGAGATTTCCAAAAAATCAAAATAGTAGCCAAAAAAGACCCAGGTATTCTAGAAATATCCCTTATAAATTAGTTTGATAGAACAAATTAGCCAACTACGTATAACTTGGCTTCCAAAAATAGACGTTTTGTCTCGAAGAATGCCCACATAATATGGAAAAACTTAGGAATTTAAACAAGACCATAGTTTAATTAATTACTATAAAGCAGAAAATACCCCAAAAATAAATCTATTTATGTAAATAAAACCTACAAAAATAGAGGGGTCAACTTTAGGATTATATCCCTTATATTTTCCAATAAGTTCATCAAATTTTTTTCCAAAAAGCCTAGGCAAATAATCTTCATATGTTATTTTCTGAAAATTAACAGAAAATTCTCTAAAATCATTTAATAATTAAATACTTGTATAACAGCCCCAACAATTCTTCTAGTCTCCAAATAAATTCTGTCATGATCCCAATGCGGATTCACTTTTTGAAGAAGCAAAGCAATTCTTTAAAGCAATAAAAGTAGGTCGAAAAGTTTATAATAAGATGGATCATTGTACTTGACAAACTCGACGGAAATCGGATCGGTTAGAGATTAAATAATTGCCTAAGGAATATTAGGCACCCAAAAAAATAAACAGGATTATTAAAAAAATCGTGGTGATGGCTACAAATAGAAATATTATTAACAAAACTCTAATCTATTAATTAATACGAAGGATCGCGTAAATTAATATTTTCGTTTATCAATCCGGATAGATCCTTGGTACATAACAACCAAAAATATATTTTTCATAAACCAACCGATTATGTTCGCGAACAAAAAGAGTATGCAAAGCAGCTAAACCAACAAAAATATTCGCTCTATCATCCCCAGCAATAATATTTTGATTATTGTCGACAGGAGGAAATACACGGGAACGAAGGACGTTTGTTTTCATAAAAGCACCTTGGCGAAAAACAAATTGGTCTCGATGGCTGCTTCCATAAACCTTTAGATAATTACCGTATTTATTCTAATAGTGCGACTCTCTCTATTAGACCGAACCCCCCATAATAAACCGATCAGTGTTGTATTTGGCTCCGGGAGTCGCTCCGGCAAATCCGAAGCTGAGAATTTGAAAATCACGGAGCTGGAGCCAACTATTAGGTTTATTCGAGCCTAATACCCAGCACTGAAACAACCTCTAGAGGATGGTTTAAAGATAATCCGACCGGTCGCACTATTAGAAATACGGTATATTAGTTATTAGTATGTTTTGATTTTTTAAATTTTGTATCTTTTATTGCATATTACTTGCCTAAGAAATATTAGGCATCCAAAAAATTAAGCTTCGACAAAGATATACCAGATAATGTGATTACTAAGTTAAATAAATATGTATACAAAAATCTATTCCAATAATTCATATGTAATAGATAATCTACTAAAACATGCATTACCAGAATGTCGGGACAGTTTTTAAATATTATTCTTAATAGTGCTCGAAAAATTATTTTTTCCCGAAACCTGATTTTCATAGAATTTCTTGAAAAATCTTTTGAAAAATTTTATATTTTTGCGCTAATGCTTTGTGTTTACATAAAATTCTCTGCATTAATCAGGCATGTAAGCATAATTGTAACAAAAATCTCTGCTATCATTTGAAATTATAAACCCTTGATGGTTTAATTATTAATTTTTAGTAATTATGGTAACTAAAAAATTAATTTTAACACCTTTCTTGAGTGATATAAATTGTTTTGTTTTTAAATTTTAATAAGCATTAGTTTTTTCTAAGCATTTGAATTTGTACTTTTGAGGCGAAGCTTTTATTTTTGTAAGCCGGAACATCGTTCGCGGCTATAAATTTTATGGAGACGGATTTTGGAACTTGACTCAAAATCCCAAAAAATCCACCCGGATCCGATCCGGGCCCCAATGCTTACCATAGATCCATCAATAAAGGCTGTGTTCTCATTGTATTGCTGACGAACATTATTGTCTTCTCCTGTTCCGCAGACCTGAAAATTGAAGAAATAATTTTTTCACTTTAATTTTCTTATTTACAGGAGACGAGCGAGCAACCGGAAGGCAGAGAAAACGGCCAAATCTTAAATTATATCACAAAATTTTTCTTTAAAAAATAAATTTTAGAATTATTCACGTTGGATCCAGACGGCTAAGCATTACAGGAAAACAAGTACCGCCTTCTGGAAGACAACTTGCACAGATCTGTAAATGTAAACAAAAATAAATTGTTCTACAAATCTTAAATGAGTGCCCGTGTTAGGGTGACGCGCTTAGTATAAAAGGCGCAGACTTTTAGTAGTCGGGGAGTCGCCAGTTAGTCAGTCTTAGTCCGTAGTCAAAGTTAGTATTCTACTCCAGCGTATAGTCGCGCTTATTCTATTGTTAGTTTCGTGATAAACCTCGTTAGTTAGTCTAGTCTTTCTGTTAGTATCGGACACACCGCAAGTCGATACATAACAGCCCGATTTTTCTGAGTCCGGGTCCAAAATCCCGTAGTTTTTCACGATCTCCGGATTATTTCTGGATCGGAATAATTTTCCATTAATTTACTTGATTATTTAACATTGTAGTTTTGGAAACATCGTGGGCAATAAATTGTCCCCATTGCATAAGGAGAGCATTCCATTTTGTTGGAATTTCTGCTGTTGAACTGAGCATCTAATTTTAAAAGCTTACTTAATACTCAGAAAAATTAACTAACTAATCTGCTTGCTTCTCTTGAGGAAGGTTTCAAATGATTAATTGAAGCTAGAAAATATGATGAGATAAGAAATTGATATTAGTTATGTTTTTCGTGTAGGTACAAAGAGCTGTCCGACAACAATACCGTCACAAATTAGAGTTTAAAAATTAACAGTTTAACCGTTAATTTTGCTTAGTTGAATAAATTTTAAAATTTTTGGACGTACAATAATTATGGTTTGGATTTATATAGCAATGGAAAAAGATGGACATATACAGGGTGACCCAAAAGAAACCGGGGTGACCCAAAATCACCCTGTACTATGATGGACAAAAATCTCGAAAACATGAGGCCAGGAAAAAATATGTAACTCCATATTAATCCGAACTCTAGTCATAATAATGGATGTAAGCTCTAAAGATATTAGGATAACATACATAATACTTTCATAAATTTTTAATGACTGAACGTTATTTCGTCGGAAAGTGTATTGCCCCTATAAAATTTAAAAATAATATACCAACAGGAGCTGCCATCTTGTCATCGTAAACAGGTTTTTTTAGTCTTGAAATTGAAATAGATTATTGTATCGAAAAAAAATTTTTCACCTAGCCAAAGGCATAAATGCCGCACCAAACAAAGGCTTTTCCAAATTGTTACAAGTTCCTAAATTCAAAATAAATTTTATTTGAAGTGATCTTGAAGAAAATGAGATGCTCAGGGCTATAAATTTTAATGTTAATTATGTTAATATCGCGGTCCTTGATGACCAAACCCATTTACGGGTATTATCGTTATCTTACGAACCGTGTTAAAATTTTACAAAAAAATATTTATAGCATAGAACAATGTTCTGGCTTGCAAAAATAACAACTAATATGCTCAAGGTTCTACTTTAACATTGATCCAACAAAAATGTTTATTAAACTCTATAAACAAAATAATTTATATTATTCCTAGAAAGGTATCAAAAAATGTTTTCTAGTTGCCCAACTTGGCCAAAATTAATAAATAAACGAACCATCTAAAGTTCGGAATTTTAAATGGTAGCAGAGATTTTTGTTACAATTTGGTCTAGTTAATGCAGGAGAACAACCAAAAGCATTGTTGCTTACACGAACATCTGATGTAGAAATTGTTCGACGAATTGTGGTATCTAAAAAGGAAACAGAACCTCAGATTTTTGAAACTCAGATTTTCCAAAACTCGAATATAATAAAATTTTTAAATAAATATATTAACCTTCATGTGTTGAGACAAAAGTACAGTCAGATTCCTCAAATATTCCTAATTCCGCTCGTTTTGCAGAAGCTCCTTTACATAGCTATTTAAACAAAATACATATTTTTTAATTGTTAGATAAAGGTGGTAGGGTTTTTCGAGAAAAATAACTCAAAATTTAAAAAAATAATATTCAAGAGCTGGGGAATATCGTGTCCGGTAGTCTCGTCAGAGGTCCCTCTCGTCGTGGAATATATTAGTCAATTCTTAAGACTCAATATAGTCTGAGACGGGCTTCCAAAAAATAATCTCAAGTCTCATTTACTCACTAATTTTTTCAAAAAAAATCTTTCATAGATTAAATTAAAGTTAAAATAACTAATGTTAAGTAGTTAGTGTAAGGGAGGCAAGATCCATCTATCTGGGGACATAAGAGATAAGGCATGTCATATTTACGAATGTCATATGAATAATTTATTATTCTCACTTAGAAATTTGGATAATTTTCGCAGTACCCAGGCTAAAGCGAGCTCCAACCTTGCAAGAACGGGGACAATTTACAAGCATCCAAACAGCATTTGTTTCACATTCTTTCATAGATGCCCAAAAATCACAGAGACGATGACGATCGACACAAACTGATGATCCTTTAAAAATTCGACATATTATACTCATCTACTTCAAAAAATATTTATTCTTTTTACCATTAGTACAAACATCACAACTAACAGGACAATGATCCCGCATCCAATCCTTGTTATTTTTACATTCACCAATTGATGTCCAAAATTTACAGAGATCTAAAATTTTAATTTCTTTTTAATTTCTGATAAAATTTTAATTTCTGATAATTTGTAAGTAAAAAGTTAGATTCTTTAAATTTAAAGATTATTCTTGTTATTATTTTTGTATGTTAAAGTTTGCTTTAACAAAAAATATTTTAAATGCTTAATCATATTATTATTATCCTAACCCCTTTTCAAGGAGTTAGTCGGCGCTGGGCCCCAAGAGTGGTGACCCACCCTTTGGGCGCGCCGATCCACCAATTAAAAGGAAAGCTTTCTTTTTAAAGTTTTATTTAATAAATATATAATAAAATATAAGGGAGGTTTCTGTATCCATATCCATGACCATGTCTGACAGAAACCACCTCATTAAAATATGCTAAAACGAAGTTTTTTCCAATACCATTGGTAATACCGCTATAGTATCGAACTGTGCCAACACTATTCAAACCCCAAAAGGGCCAGGGAGAGATATGGGAATCCATTTAAATCAGATCACTAGAAATAAGAATTGACCATTAAAACCTTACGTTTAGAAACAATTTAAACAAAATTCCCAACCATGTAAATCGTTGCATTCTCCTGCAACTCTTTTTCTGGTTGGCTTTCTATTTAGTAAAGATGAACGTTCAGCCGATTTTAACATTTGTTTTTCACGATCTATTGTTGCTGTTTCAGTTGAAGCTTCGGTAGTTGTTGTGGTTGTTGTTGTCTTTTTTGTAGTTTTTGTTGTGGTTTTTGTTGTTGTTGTTGATTTTGTTGAACTAAAATTTAAAAGAAATTTAGGTAAATTGTGATATAAATCCAAAATTTAGAAAAAAGTGGATTCAGATTTAATAAAATATCGGTCTAGGTCTAGTTTGTGAGTTAATGAAGCCCCCTAAATCTTTGAGCTCAATAAAAACTCAATATCTATTATAGTCTAATTGTTTACTCTGGCCATTATAAGCGGCACTCTAACTGAAGGGGTAAATTTTTAGACAGACGTTATTACTAGAACAGACTAAAAGACAAATTGAAGTATACACAATAGCTTTGGATTCATTATCCACAAACATTCTATACTTGTTTTTGAGACTCATGTCCAATTAATAGACCTAAAATTAGCCTTGTATTTATCAAGGTATCCAAAAATAATTCATCAAACTGCTTATCAACAATATTCATTATAAAAATGAATATAAATAAAAATAAAAATTGAAAATTTAATATGTTTAAGGGGAATACCTGACCTGGAGATGAATAAAAATATAATTTACCCACCTTTCTGTTGAATCAGAAGGATCTTGTCCTGACAGAAACGAAGGTATTAAAGTTGGGGGTGTAGGCATTTCCTCATCAAAATGGTGTTCTTCGGTAATCTGATGATTTTCATTATCATCACTTTTTAGAAAAGTGTGAAGGAATTCCCCCTCTTCAATATCGTTATCAACATCCATCTTTCCTGCGGATACACCTGAAAAAAATAAAAATAGTTAAAGAAAGAAGCTCAAAGATGCTCTTAAAAACTATTTAATCAATTAATTTGTCTCGTATAATTACTCTATCTCCAGTAGGCTAAACAATAATTATGTACTCATGTACTCATCTCAGATTAATGTCAGCCTTGTTTTTTATCAAGGCTTCCAAAAATAATATGCCGAAATATGAAGAAACTGACAGAAGCTCGATATAAAATTACCATGAATAGACGTAAATATTAAAAATTTGATACGGTTTAACACACGTTAAAATTTGCAAACTTGCTTAATGCTCCACTCTCGAGGGTCATTAAGCAAGTGTGTTAAGTGTGAATAAGTATGGTAAGAGAGAGCACAAGAGTAAGAGTAATTAATATAGGTATATAGAATAGGTATATATACAATAGGTATACATTAGTAGGCTATCATTTAAGATTATAAAATTAATTTTTAGTAATCTAGGTAACTTTGAAAATATTTTTAACATCTTTCTGGAAAAATACATATAAATTGTTTTGTTTTTGAATTTCAATAAACATTAATTTCTGTCTAAAAATTTGAATCATTTTGTAGAAGCGAAGATTATTTTTGGAAACTGGAACATCGTTCGCGGCTATAAATTTTATGGAGACGGATTTTAAAATTGAACCCAGAATTCCAAAAAACTATCCGGATCGGGTCCGGGCACTTCTTCAAATAAGTGTTTGTTCTCCACTAGCCAAAAATAAAACGTAAATCAAATTTAGAATTATTCTAATTTTGAGTTTATTTTTAATGAGATCTGGCTAATATTTGACAAAAAATATAATTCATTAAGAAAAAAGATTAAAATTTACCGTAAATATCCTAATAGAAGCCCATGCCCTATTATAAGCCCACCCGATGGGGGGTAATGAAAAATATAAGCCCAGGGCTTATATTAAGATATTTACGGTATTTTAATTTTTTTGAAAAAATTTTCCTCATTTTCCCCAAAAATTTTTTTTATCTTTTTTCAAATTTTTCCAAAAATTTTTTTATCCTTACAAGAATTTTCCAAATCAATTATTCTCATTATTTATTATTTTATATTTTTTTCCACATTTAATCCCCCCATTAATTATCAATTAATCCAGACACACACATAAATACCAAATCACAACTCATCTTTTTCTCCCTTCAAATTCTTTTCTCTTTCATTTATTTTTACAAACATCTGACAACAAAAACAAGTTTTTGTATTTTTTTTCAACTTTTATTCTCATTTACTTTCACTCTTTTTTTCATTCCATTTCGGTTCCAACAAGCTGTGACGGCCACCAAAACTTTTCTTTTCCTTCGTCTAAAAACCCCCCGTCGAGGTCAATGGCGCGTCTGCCAATTTAACTATTCTAAAGAAGATAAAAAGCGGGTTATTGAATATTTATTTGAAGCTGTATTAATTGCACGTAAATATATGAAAATATTTTAATGCCGCACAGATTGGTATAGGTAAAAGGAATGTTTTTTGGAGGGTAAAGGAAGGGGAGGAAAGGAATTTGGAAGGAATTTGAAATAGGTATTGAAGTGTCCTTAAAAATAAAGTCTCGGACACCTTTCTTAAATTACAGCTTTACAACCCTAGGTTTGTCCGAGATTTAACTAATGTCGACGTGCACAAGAATAACAGTTTATCTAATGTAGAAATGAACAATGAAGTCGAAGGTTGAAAGAGTTGGAACAGACGAAGGAGATCAGTGATTAGCACCGTTAGTATGATACAATTATACTGACGCTTACACTGGTTTTTTTATATTCATCACTACACAACAGATGGTCATTAAACTTCCTAAAAGAGGTCTGACCTCTATAAAATAAGATTTAGATAGATACAGTATTTCCTAAAATAAAGTCCCACACTTGAAATAGAAATTCACCTTAGAGGGTAGTTGAAAAATAGAGCCACGTGAGATTCTATTTTAGGAAATACTGTAAAATATTTTACTGACGCACATTTAGTTTTATAATAAAGATAGAAATAATAATAGATTAACAATAGTAAAGCTTGATATTTTTATTTAAATAATTTAATTTTAGCTAAATTAGGCTTTAGCTTGCAAAAATAATCTAACAATTGGTCATCAAATTGCTTACTATCTATGTATATCAATAAACTTATGAAATAAAAAAATAAGTATAATATAGTATATTAAGTAGTTTGAAGTAAAGATTAAATATCAATATAAATGCTTATTTAGAATTAGATTTGGTAATAGTGGAGAAAGCTGCCTAGAATGCTTATTTCTATATAAAATTGTTTATAAATAAGCCCAAAATAAGCCCAGACGGATCATCTAAAGTTTAGTTTAGATTGTATTTTTAAGCTTTAAAATAAATTTTTTAGTTAAAGCAAGTTTTAACTTCCAAAAATAACAACTGAATCGAACTAAAGATGAGGACGTATTTAAAATAATATATCGTTAAATTTATTGATAAATTTATGAATAATTATATATTAATAAATTTTAATTTAAAAAGTAAGTATATGTAGTTGGATAAACAATTGTAAAATGAAAAAGCTTTAAATTTTAGCTAAAGCATGCTTTAGCTTCCAAAAAATAACACCAAAGTGGCTGACAATGTGGCGACTTTAGTTCCTTCGTTAGAATTATAAAATAATAAAATAATTTTAATATATGTATATTAAGTAATCCAACTTTTTTGTTAAAAATGGTAAAAAATTTATTTAGAAAATAAAAGCAGAAAAATAAAAAAATAAAGAAAAAAATGATAAAAGTTTTAAAAAATATATTTAAAAATTTTGTGTTTTAATTTAATTAAAAATACACAACTTTGCGATTAAAATTAAGAGGAAGAAAAAGTTGAAATTGGAAAAATTAAAATATTTTTTAATTCAAAGTATTGTGTAAGAATAAAATTAACGATTGCAAATTTTAAAAGTAAAGGAAAAAGTTTAAAAACTATAAATAAGGGGAAAACACATTCCGACAAAATACCATCCACAAATCATGGTAAAAACACGTTCCGATTTTACAACTTTTAAATTCGGCTTATGTTATTTTATAGTCATAATATCCTTAAACCTTATAGCATGATGACTAAAAATTTTAGTTAAAATTTTTTGACTCCAAGCGAAATGGACGCTTATTTTACTACAATATGTGGAACGGTATTTAGTTAGAGGCTGTTTTGTTTAAAATGAAACTTAAAAATATTTTTTTAAAAACACCTACATTTCAATCCAACAACCAAAATAAATATTGCCAGCAACAATAACGAAATTTGGTGAACAGAAAATGGCACAAATTGAGTCCTTCGCCCACTAGGACAGTCTGTTGTATTACTACAAAATCGACTAGTACAATTATTTTTTGTTGCTTTAGTTGGCTAAAAAATAATTATTTAATTAGTGGAATATGTAAGGGATATAACGAGTTACCCGAAAACCGGATTTTTCGACCTGAAACACTACTCGACTTTTTTCTTCCCCATGACATCCCTGAAATATGTATTAGGCATACATAACAGAGATCCTGTCAACATATAAAAATAAATTTCTGATTTTAAGGAATCTAGAAGAAGGCATCCCTGGTATAAAATAATAAAAATAAATTTATTTATTACCGAAATACCTAATTTCAAAGAGTCTAATTGAGAGATCGGACCAAAACGAGATCTCAATCAAAAATTTTGGATAGCGTGATTTTTCGAGATATCGTTTTGTTCTAGTCTTACCATCCCATTCGCATCTCTAGTATAATTGAGTGGTATGTTAATATGATAAGGATAAATTTTTGAGGCAACTATGGGGGGTATTTTGTTGGGATATAAAACACGCATCGAGATTTAACGTTAATTAGTTAATTTTTTTGATAAATCACCTCCATTAATTGTCCATTCCTTTTAAATTTTTTAGTGGTCATTTTTGCTTCTCCAAAAGTATTATTTTTAATCACCGTCTCATTTTCATCCTTGAAAGTAATTGAAGAAGAAGGAAAATAATTTAAAGGGATAATCATTTAATTAAGTGAAAACTGGAAGGAAAAAGAGAAAATTAAAATGGAAATTTTTTTGTAAATTTGTGCAAAAAATAATTTAAAAAATAAAATAGGAAACATTTAATTTTTGGTATATTTCATTCAAAAATTTTTTTTTAATAATTTAAGAAAATTTTAAAAAAAGGGAATGTGATGCAAAATTTTTTTTTAATAATTTTAATTGAATTCAAAATTTGAATTGGAAGTGCCGCGCAAAAAAAATCATAATTTTTACAATTAAAAAGTCGTTCACTAGTAGTTAATCTATACAGATATGCCCCTTAAAAACCCCTGAAATTTACATATTTAAATAAAATATATCTACATAATATTTTAAAATTATTTGATTATATTTTAAAAAGAAAGCTTAATTATAAATAAATTACTTAATTTGGTCTTAAATGTGTTTGCTTATTTTTGAATGCCTAAAGATTAACTGGGCAGAAATATTCTATTTATTTAAACAATTAAAGCTTCTCCAGCATAAATTATTGTAGAATCAATTAGAAAAAGCCTAAATTATAAGGTAATTGTTCATAAAAAATTTAATTTCCATGCCTTCCTGAATATAATGACTTTAACCTGAATTAATTAGGTACTTACTTTTAAAAATGTTCTAGCCTCGTTTTTATCAAGGCTTGCAAAAATACATACGTGCAGCTTTAAGCAAGTCAAAAGCTAAATATAAAATTTAATATAAATAACCATAAATATTTAAAAATTTAATATGGTGTAAGAAAATATCAGATTTAAAGGGATTTTTTTCAAATTTTGGAAAGAACTATTTCAAAATTTACAAAATAATTTCCCCAAATTTACTATCTCAATCTAACCGAGACGAAAAAAGTATCTTGCAATTTAACTTTCTTTTTTTAAATAAATTTAATTTAAAAACAAAGTTCAGATAAAATAAATGTGTAGAGGAGTGGAAAATCTTTATTTAAAAAGTTTTTAAAATTAACAAAAAAAATATTAAAATATTTTTTCAATTTATTGAAAGAGTTCTCGATTTGAATAACATTTAATTTATGGGAGGGGTAAAACCTAAACTTTAAATAAAAAATATTTTTGCCTGATTTAATTTCAGGCTTACAAAAATTAAAGAGGAAGGTCAAAAAGAAAAAACAATTAACGTGAAATTTAGCATTTATATTTAAAAAATAAATTTAAATAAATTTAAAATATAAAGTAGAGATAAATTTTAGTCAAATAAATTTTTGAAAAGAGAACGAAATTTTTATAATTGTCCGATTTTTTAAATAAATGGCTATGATCTTGAAATATTTTTATTTACAAAAGGATATAATCCGAATATTAGAAGATAGCAATGAAAATTTATGGCATGGTCAGAATAATTACCCGCCCTCGAAAAATCGCCCATGGTTAAGGCGGATACTGGGAAGGAAATCTCCTGATATCCGGAGTCTATATCAAATCCGAAAATATTCATGATTTTCTACAGACCATGAAATCCAAACTCGAAAGCCTCATTTTGCACTTAAAGCGAGAAGTTGAAACAATACAATACTTACCCAGAATATTTTAGAAATATTTTAGAACTTACTTTAAATAACAGATATAGAGGGATAATTAGGTTTCTGCATGATTAATGTTTCTTATTTCAAGCTAAATTTTTAATTTATAAGCCTAGTAATTCTTTGAAGATGAACATTTAGATTAATATATATTGATCAGACATTCTTATGTAATAAAAAGATTTATTAATTAGCTATAAAGGTCGCTATTGTAGATTTAAAAAAATGATAGTAAAAAATAAAAATATTTCCAGCTTTTAAATAAACATGTGAATAAAATGAAGAAAGAAGAAAAAAATAAAAAAAAGTTGAAAAAATTTGCAAAGAAGACAAAGTGAAAGCGTTGTTCTTCTTCTTCTTTTTGCAAATCGGAGGAGAGGAAGCCCAACCCCTAAAGGAAAAATGAAAGGAAAGAAGAGGAGTAGAAGGAGGGATTGATAAATAAAAAGTCTAATGGGCTTAATGGGAGGAATTTTAATAAAAATTTTAAAAATTTGGGGTTTTAAAGATAGTTAGAATTTGTATTTCTACTTTTACCTGAACTCTGTTCGGGTATACAAAAATAAATCCGTCACACTGGGAAAAACGATTACTAAAAGCGTTTAAATAAATTTTTTTATTAAAATTAAATTCTTCTTTTAAAATAAGGAGTAAAATAAGAAATTATTTTATTGTATATTAAATTTAAAAATTTAAAATTTATTTTCCAAATAAAATCAACGTTTACTTGAACTTTTTCAGACCGATAAGGCCATACAAGCATAAACAGGGCAGCAAGATATTTTATACGGTACACCTCAATTGAGTCCCGACTCAATTGAGTCCCGGACCCTATAACTTATGAAGGGATGGTCACTTTTTTTTGCTCTTGGTACCTTTGGATAGGGAATTAAATAGGCTACAATATACCAAAAAATCAAAATTCCTGACCGACTGGTAAAAAAGTTATGATCGATAAAGTGCCGAAAAATCAGTTTTTTTGAAAAAGTTAGTTTTTAGATCATAACTTTTTTATCAGTTGGTCAAAAATTCTGATTTTTTGGTATATTGTAGTCCATCTAACGCTCTATCAAATGGTACCAAAAACATTAAAAATCATCAACCCGTACTTGAGTTATAGGGCCGGGACTCAATTGAGCCGGGACTCAGTTGAACTGCTCCGTATTTTATGAAATCAAACACCTGTGGATTCGTTAAGCCTAATGCTCGATTAAACTAATAACTAGAGACCGAACTGGGAGTGTCTTACGAGATATCTCGAAAAATATCGATCTCGATGACCAAGAATTTCGTTCTTGATCTTCAATCAAGTCTCTACTAATAACCCGCGAGATCGGACATATACTACATTTTTGCCTCTATTTACAAATAAAAATTGACCTTTACCCGAAATATGTTCAGGCATACAAAAATAAATGTAATCATTGGTTTGGCCAAAAAAACTAATGATCATTTTTTTTATTTAATTAATTTATTTTAAAAAAGTTTAATTCTTTTTTAAATAAGGAGTAAAATAATTTAATTGAAGGAAAAAATTATTTTAAAATTTTTGAATTTTAAATCATTAAAATCCTTGTTAAGAAAAATATCAACCTTTATCTGAAATATGTTCAAGCATACAAAAAATCTTATTTAGAACGATGAATGCTATACAATTAAGATGATTTAAACAAATTTATTTTTGAACAAATTTTAACCATAATTTAAACAGGAAGTAAGTTAAAAATTATTTTATATAATTCTCCGCAACCTATTCATAGTCAAATAAATAAGAATTTCCAAAAAAAATAATTGAAAAATTTTATCATTAAAATGTTCAAATTGTTTTTTATACATAGAACATCAACACCCAAACTATTTTTAGGCATACACAAAAATAAACTTTTAAAGCATTAGCGACTGCTCAACAGTGAATTTGTTTAATGAAATTTATTTGTGATTAACGTTAAATTTATTTTTAAATAGGGAGTAAAATAAGTAATCTTTTGTGTATTTTTTTAAAAATATTCATTGTCAAAGCGTTACAATTTAACACTAAAAACGATCAAAAAAAGCTTATAAAAAAGTAATAGAGAAAGGGCAGAGTGCACTATTACAATTAATTATTAGTGTATCAATGAATATCAGCTACAAAGAACATTAAAAACATAAAGAAGCCTGCAGGCTGAAACAAATAAATGTGTAAATGAAAAGAGAAAAATGCTAAAGAATTATTACATAAGAAATAAAAAAGATGAAAAATTATTTAATGTTAAAAGGGAAAAATTATTTAGACAAAATTTTGATAAAAAATTTTTTAGAATTTTTGCTGTGATAGCCTAAAATAAAATATATTTTTTCGATATATTTTTTGTATACAAAAATATGTGTAAGGTTCTGTTAAACAGTGATGTCAAAGTTCCAAAATTTCTCTGGAACTAGTTCCAGTTCAGAACTAGGTTTTTAATTTTTCAGTTCAAGTTTCAGGGGAGCAGGCCAACGTACCGCGAGCCCAACGTACCGCAGAGCTATAACTTCATTCAAAATATTCGAATTCGGGACGCCTTGGTATGGAACGATACATCTCGACAAGCTGAATCGAACCATATCAGGGCGTCCCGGATTCGACCACTTTGAACGAAGTTATAACTCTGCGGTACTTTGGCCTCGCGGTACGTTGGGGTGTACCCAAGTTTCAGTTCCGGAACTTCATTTTTGAAATTCCCTAGTTCCAGTTCTGGAACTAGTTCCAAGCTAGTTCTAGTTCCAACTATTAAAATTTTTTTTGAATATAAAAAGATTGATCAATTTTAACAAATAAAGGCTTAATTTAGAAAATCATCTAGTGTGCGGCAAAATCGCATTCACGGGATCTAGCATTGTCAAAAAATTAAACCCGTAAATCCCAGGAATAATCCCGTAATCCAGATAATCCGGTTCTAAAATTTAGTGGGATCCCGCGGGGTTTCGGGATTTTCTTATAAAAATTTTTTACGTAATAGATATCAGGGAGATAAGTGGATTTGAAGGGATTAAGGGATTTAAAAGAATATCTGGGGATATTTTTGGTGATATCTGGGTTATAAGAGGATTTTGAGTGATATCGGAGGATTTAAAGAGATTGGAGGATAGACTGTCACTTTTTCATCGCCGCAGGCGAAAATTTTTAGACTCCCACAACTTCAGACTCCGACAACTTCAAGTTTGGCAAAAAAAACAAACGCAAACACATTGGACTGCGTCTCCCCCACTCAATCCTCAAACCGGCGCTCTGAAGGTGCGCCAAACCGAATGGTCTGAGCCGCATAAATCCATCTTCCATTTGAATTAAGTTGGGGTGAAATCTCAATTTTTTATAAACTCCAACATATCAGATTTGGCAATAAAAAACAAACGCAAACACATTTACAACTTGTTGCATTTGTTTGCGTTGTTGAAAACAACCGCAAACACAACATATATCTTGGG